TTTAAAACGTTTAGATTTTAAGAGACAAATTGTTAGTTTATGGACGGTGAAATTGCAATAATCGTAAGTATCTTTAATAAATTAAATTTAATTCATTAAACAAATCTAGTTTGACGTGTAAATACAAGTATTTTTTTCTTTATCGAAATATGTTTTGTTTATTGCTTATAGACAGAGAGAGAAATTGGAAAAGCAAGAGTGGTCGTTGAAAACCGGGATAAACGATGATTCTATTTGTTAGTAATGACTCCTATGGCCGTGCATTGATGATGTAAAAGTTATTCGGACTTTTTTCACTCGAACATTTCACCAGTCTGTATCGACCGACGTGTTATTTTCAGCGTCATTATAAACCTTTGAGGGTTGTCTTTCAGCACGCAGAAAGCGTCAAAAAGTTCCTCGTCGACAAAATGTTTTTTCGACTCCATATATTGTTCGCCGAGCTCTTCCTTCCTGTACCAAAGTGCCGTGTAGTCGATGCGCCCAGAGTGCTCATCGATGAAACGCGGCGACAGGTTCTGACACGCTGAAACCGCCGTCCAACAAACCCAGTCTTGGAACCTTTCGATGAACCGTTCCGAAAGAGTCTGCCGTGCCGATATTTTCTCCCGGTCCAGAAAAGGCTGCCACCTTTCGATGAAAGCTTCCGTGAGTATGCGGCTCCAGGAGATTGTCGGCCAGTCGATGAACGACTTGAAACGATGGAGGAACAGTTCGTCGAGAGGTGCCAAGCTGGAAATCACCCTCCAGCCGTCCTCGTCCAGGCTTTCGAGCTTATCCGCGATTGCCGTTTCCCAGGCGGGGAAAGCACGGAAAGCCCGGTAGGCGTTGGCGATGTCGACTTCGTCCTCCAAATTGTTGATCACAGTCTTCACTACATAAAAATCAAGTTTCCAACAAGGCGGCTTATCCATCAACGATATAAACAAAACAAAACAAACCAAGAAAATAAAGAATGAAAACAATGTTAAAAAGTGTAATAAATTTAAATCCTACATGTGCATATGTTCATTTAGTTTTTATCAAACCAAGCGGGGATTATTAATTCTTACAACATGCTCTAGCCATGGAAATTAAAAAATTAAATAATTATTATTTGTCAACTATTTTATTAATTATTATTAAATAATTGATATTTACGATCATTTTATTAATTTGGTCACTAATGAATATCTAAAGATATTCAGTTAAAAAATACTAAAATTATAAAATTCTAGATGTATTTGAATTACTAATGCCTAGTACTAATTCTTATATCGCAGTTGTCATTAACATATAATTATTCCAATCGTTCATAAACGACTTATTCCATATAAATTAATATTTTCAAATCGTATAAATAAAATTATATTACTTTATCACATTTTTTTAACATCATTTTTGTTGGAATTTTTTATTTTCTTCAGTTGGTAAGCTGGTCAATTAAGTAAGTTAATTCATTGTTATAATTTTCGTATGAAATTTAATAGTATGAAAATAATAATTCCTTTCTAATAAGTTGATTTTCTGCTTAAAGTAACACGATCATATATTCTTATTTATCTTTTTATGTTCAAAACGACAAAAGTTGATAGTTGACAAAAGTTGTTTTCATCATAGATATTCAATTTTTAGGGCAGACCTTTCACATTGTTTGAAAAGTGCTCGTGACACTGACTTTTTTATCTCAACTAAAAACCTTAATTAATTGAAATATATTAATTGTCAAGCGGACCACGAAAACTAGTGAATTTAAAAAGTTAACATGAAATATACCTTAAAAGCTCTCCGTGGCCATTTCATTTGTCGCCGAGAATCAAATAGATTACACGTCATTTGAAAAATGGCAAAAAGGAGGGAAAATTCAAAAGTGGGGTGAGATGGGAAGTTAGTGTCCGAGTGGATCGAGGTCAGGATAGCTCAAGTGGTAGAGCAGCGGCGTATCTAGCCGAAGATCGTGANAATACAGTCAAAATAATCGGTTCCCGAACAAGTGCTACGTAAATATGGTAGTTGATCCTTGATATGTTCGCAATTGCGACTTGCACAGAGACCTGAACATCCCTCATATCGACACGGAGATCACACGGTAGCTTATAAGCACTACCTTTGTCTCTAGAGACACTCTAACCCCGAGGCCATCCGCTTGTCTTATATTCAGCACAACGTAAGACGTCTGAAGATGGCTAAGCCATTTGATCTAGTTCTGTGGAAACTTCCTGTTGAAGCTAAATTAGATAAACTGTGACACCGACTAAAGTTATTGATTATTTATTTACTTCTGTTTTTTATTGTAAAATTAATTGATTCATTTGACCAGTCTTAATTTATGTTGTATTTAAAGTAAAGCTTAGATCATAAATAATAAAAGGAGATTAAGGATGTGATTTCTTGTTTCCATTAATTATGATACTAAATAAATGCCCTGATGAGAGTCAACAAACTTTTTTGCGGCCTTAGCTTTTCTCAAGGACGTCTTTGAGGGATCTTGAGACGATCTACCCTCCTGTCGGGGTAATAGGGGTGGAAATGTTGAACACGAATTGCGTTAATGAGTTGGGTTGAGAGAAGCGGAGAAATCTTGGAACCTGGAAAATTTGTTGGCAATTAAATTATAAACGAGGAATATTTTAAGGTCGTTGTGGAGGATGGCGGTGGGAACATTGGAGGGAGCGTTGACTATAATTCTGGGGTCTTAGGACTGGCAGGACTGTATTCGTTGGATGTTATTTTGTTTAGCGGTGCCCCAAAGTTCTAGTCCGTATGTCCAAAGAGATTTCATAGTGTTTTGAAAAGTAAGTTTGTATATTCACGGCCTGTTTGATTTTCCAAGCAGTTTATCCGTCTGATTGTCATATCTTGCCATTTGTATTTCGGTTCAAGGTTAAACAGGAGTTAAGGTAGAGCCCAAAGTAGCTACGCAGTCGTTTTTGCTTATAGGAAAGGAGGATTTTTGAGAAATATTAAGTGAGGGGTTTTGCTTTTGAGAGCAAATGGTGCATGGTGCCTAGAACATTCAAAGTAATTGTCGGAGAGGCATCAGGAATATCACAGTATCATCGTCAATGGAGTCAATAAGGATGTAATGTGTCATCCGGATATTTGAGTTTGGTCCTAACCCATTACCCTGCATCATTTTCCAAATGTAAAAGATATAGGACACAATATAAATTTCGGTAAAGTAAAAATATTAGGGAGAGAGAGAAGGATCAACAAAAATTAATTGTATCGAAGAATATCTATATAAACATAAAAAAAAACATAAATATACAAGATAAAAAAACAAATTATGTAAATAGCGCAAACATATTTTAAGAATTTCTACAAATAATATAAAATTTAATAAATAAAAACAAAACTTTTGTTATACAAATAATATATAAAATAAAAAATAGTAAATTAAAAATGTAAAATTAAGTAAAAAATACAAATAAACAAAAAAATAATAAAATAAAAAACAGATCACAGCTGCAAATAACACCACACTTTGGAAATATGTAACCAAGGAGAACCTACCTGTTCCGGATCAGAAATGACGNGCGTTTTTTTTAGTCTTATCTTATGTACATTGCTAATATCAATATTCAAATGCTTCAGCAATATTTTGTCATTTAATTAATAAAACTAGTTTACTGGAAAGAATATTGGGTAATTTTTTAGTGATAAACAAGAGTTTAGACGGTGTATAATAAGATTGCATCTTAGGCCCTTGCTATACTTGCTGTGTACGGGTGACCTACCACTGACGGAAAACATAACCATCGCAAATTTTGCCGATAACAAAGCTTCCCTCACGCAAAAAAAAATGTATCCATATATCCACGAACTGACTGAAAATGGCAGTTAACATCATCCATGAATGGTCAGATACTTGGAAGGTTAAAATGAATGACCATAAATCCGTACATATAAATTTCACAAATACAAACCAATCGTCTTCAATTTTCAAGAATTCAGTAAAATATTTAGGCATGACAATAGATAAAAAATTAAATTGGATAAAACCTGTCAAATAGAAAAGGAAAGAACTTGATTTCAAATACCGTCAACTTTATTGGTTGCTGGAAAGGGACTCCCGGCTATCAGTACAAAAAAAATACATTATATTTAGTGGTCTGATTGACAAAATTACTTATTTCAATTAATTAACATTTTTATGTAAGGTTTTGGTTGAAATGAAAAAGTCCATGTCACGAGCGGGATTCGAACCCACCGACCCTCGGCTCAATACGCCGTTGCTCTAACCACTTCAGCTATCGAGACGAAGTGGTTAGAGCAGCGGCTTATTGAGCCGAAGGTCATGGGTTCGAATCCCGCTCGTGCCATGGACTTTTTCAATTCAACCAAAACCTTACATAAAAATGTTAATTAATTGAAACAAAATAAAATGTTGATTTATAACCAAATATTGAAGCCTATATAGATGTATGGTATACAACTCTGGTGGATGTGCCAAAAGAGCAATACAGTCAAAATAATCGGTTCCCGAACAAGTGCTACGTAAATATGGTAGTTGATCCTTGATATGTTCGCAATTGCGACTTGCACNGTCTGATTAGATCCAACACATACCAAATGAATTAAATTTAAAAAAAAAACAGCCTTCCGAAACAAAAAGAAGAAAACAAAATTAGATCTTTCACAATCATTTATTACAAAAACATCTTCACAAACAAGGATGTTTTCATAAACATTTCTTATATATTAAGGCTGCATGTAATTACGTTTTATCATTAAAATGTACAATAATGTTGTTATTTCCGTTTGGTTTGTTACAATTTTCACTCATTTTAATATCTTATTAGCAAGAATAAATTGCGTTTAAAACCTTCTCATGAAAGATGGTAAACATGTTATTGTGTCATTGTATGAGAGTGAAACGAATTTGTATTAGTTGTTTTGAATTTTATTGATGATTAAATTTATCCTATAATCCTATTTGAAAGGCACTACGTTAAATTAAGTCAAGAGTTCTGAATGTCTTCAGCTGTTTAAAGGATAGAACTAAATTCTAAATTATTATCCTTTTGTACAATTGACCTAAGAGACTACTTACTAACGCAAATTCAGTAACAATGAGAAACAAATGATTTGATTTTATAGGTAAAGATCGGTTATTTACAGTAGGTTTTAATAGGTTTTTCTGCCTCGCTATTTTTCTTTTATTCACCAAATTCAACATCTAAAACAACAAAAATCAACAACTTGAGAACTGTTTCGTCTACTTCAGAGAGCATATTTCATGCGGCTCGGACATTTTATGGTGGAGCAAAAGTTGCCTCAACGATTGCGCTTCTTCTCTCAAAGTGATAACTTGGGCCCGTAAAACGGCATTTTCATGTTCGAGCATACTAGCCCGGAGAGCAATCTGAAAAAAGTAAACGTAGTTTGACATTTCGATTTTGGAACACAAACAAAAACAATTTTTTTTAAAATTATTATTATCTACGATAATCATTAGATAGTGGCTATGTCTCACTGATGGATGTCATAAGTAATACACTCACACAATAATGATATATTAAATAAACATAATAATAGATAATAACAATTGTTTAATCTACTTGGACCGCATACTCCCACCATTCTCATATATCAGGCATACTTTTAAAGTTCAAAATGGAAAATAAAAGCCAAGAAATTGCAGAAGAAATTGAAGGGTATATCTTCAATTAGGAGCAATTTTTTGGCTCCATATAGAGAGGGTGTAGTAATGTCACCCGATATGAAAATCATGCTTGAGCACTGCAGCGAGTATGTGGCTCTACCGCCTCAGTTTTTGGTGGAAACTGGGTTGTTTTATTGTGTACAATACTGCTAAGTTTGTGTCCCCAGCTATGTTGAAAGTGAATGTATTTATTAGCGAGAATATGTAGAGTGAAAGGTGTGATTTTTCAGTTCTTCCCTAAATGTTGTTCTGTATATTTCCTAATATCTAGAATGAAATCTCGGAAATATTTTGATATTTTCTTTCATATAATTTCATTTTTTCCTATTTTTAAATATTTGATATTACATATATTTGATATTTACAACTTAAAATAATGTATTAAGCAAATTCACTATTTTTCGTGGTCCGCTTAGCCAATTAATATCATTCAATTAACTATTAAAAATGGCAAAAAGGAGGAAAAATTCAAAAGGTGGGGTTGAGATGGAAAGTTCGTGCCCGAGTGGATCGAAGTCACGGTAGACCAAGTGGTAGAGTAGCGGCGTATCAAGCCGAAGGTCGTAGGTTCAAATCCCGCTCGTGACACTGACTTTTTTATCTCAACTTAAAACCCTTAATTAATTGAATGGTATTAAGCAAAGTTCACATATGCTGAATTTGCCATTTGAGTCTCGTAGATGTTGCTCTACTCCTTTAAATACTTAAATACTACTATTTCAAACTTATCAGTAGCCCCTGATATTTTATGATGCTATATTATTGATTGTCACACTACTAAAAAACTCAAGTTCAACATATACTACTAACCACCCACAAAGACATAAGATGCATCCCTTAAATAAATGTAGTTTGAATAGTATTATGACTAGAGATTATGATAAAACAGCATCACATTACAGATACATTGTACTCGCCTCATATGGCACCAACGATAACAAAAACTAACAGCAAATTCCAATTCAACCTTCAGCTCTGACCCGACCTTCACCAAACGTGGGAATGGCTAACATATAATTTTTAAAAATATAGTTCCTACTCACAGTAAGTTGATTTGCAACGATACGGATTTCGAGCTTTTAGCTCATCATCAGATTGAAGGAGTTCTACAACCACGTCTCTCGACATGAATTGCAAAAGTGAACCCGCTGATACCCCCGCCAACGCGACGTTCCAATGAGAAGCTGGTTTTTAATGCCACTCAATTTGAACGTGCGAAAAGCAGAAATTATAACACAAGTAAATATTATAATAGTAAATACTGTAAGAAATTGAACATCGCACTCACTCCACCATTCATCATTTCTATGGCTAACATATTTCCAACTTGGTAACTCCTCCAAAATGTGATCAGATACCTTTGATGTGTCAGGGGGGATTGAAGCAATGAACAGACTCAAAACCCCGTAAGCACACTGATCAATCAAATCAATGATCACTCAAACAAAATCTATACCACTTGCCAAAGAGAAATACAAACAAAAAACACATAATAATGAACAGACGCGAAATAAACAACATTCACATACGACAATGTTCGATTATAATACAAACGTGTGGTGATTAGTGACCGTTAATCGATAATTATTCAGAAATCGTGAAATGCGGAAGAAATGTGTGGTGATTAGTGACCGTTAATCGAAAATTACTCAGAAAACGTGAGATGCGGAATGTGTGGTGATTAGTGACCGTTAATCGATAATTATTCAGAAAACGTCAGATGAAAAATGTGTGGTTATTAGTGACCGTTAATCGATAATTATTCAGAAATCCGCATCTCACGATTTCTCAAAAATTATCGATTAACGTTCACTAATCAACATACATTTCTACACGAGAAGAACGAAGAACATGGGATTCTATGAACAAATTCCAATTACATATCGACACGAAGCTAAAAATAAAACACCAGATCGCATCTCACGATTTCTGAATAATTATAATATAAACCACAAAACAACAATACTGTTTCAACATTATTACACAAATACACACAACAAAATACGGGCTAGGATAGGGCAACTCGACTTCTGCCATATTTGGAAAATGTTTTTACAAAACTTGGAATAGAAATGCTTCCCTGAATTCATGGCAAAACAGAACATTAGATAAATATACAAATACGTGGATGAGATCCTCTGCACATATATAACCCGAACATATGAATCTGGCGAAAAAAGGCAAAATTGCTCTGAGATTTTGAAAGCCATTCCAATGAGTGGCACCTACGATTGGTGAGGCAACGGGAATCTTTGAATCTTATTTTGTCTATTAATGCTGTATTATTATAAAAGTAAAGGGAAACGTATTTTCCAGTCATACAGGAAAACATAATGTCCTACTATCTGTTGGGTCGTACGAACGAGTCTTTATTACTTTATAATAAATTTTTCATATCATAATCCATTAAAAAATCATGGGCTCTGGCGAGATTCGAACCCAGAACCGCTGGCGTGTCAAATACGTGTCGGACGCCCTAACCACTCCGGCTCTCTGGACTCCAACAGTTGAATTTTTTTTTATTGATATATTATAAATGTAACGGGAATATACGACTAAAGCCAGGAACACACCCGATGCTACGCCATGCGACGCTACCCGATGCTACCCTATGCTACCCAACGCCTTGCCACGTTTTGGTGGGGTGTGCACATCTATCCGACGCAAGCACAAGTAGCGTACTGTCCACAGCGTTTATCACAATAATCACTATCACAACCGCAACGCATCTTTTGTTCTTAATGCACTATTTTGAACAAAACCTTGTAATAAATTGTTAGTTAAATTTTATGAGCACAACCATCTAATAAATTGTTTGTTAAACTTAATTGTTTTAAATAAAGTTACTCCTAACCATCATAATTAAACAATGTTTATAAAAACTTATGCATTTTTGATCTCGTTTAATTTGGTTTACATTAAAATAACATGTTGTAATTAATATAACGACAAAATTACATGTACTTAGTTTGAAATAAACTACAAAAAATATGAGTGTCCTGTTCTGATGCTACCCGACATTACAAAATGGTGTAATTTTACGAGCAAAACTATGAAATAAATTGTTAATTAAATTTTATGAGCAAAACCGTGTAATAAATTGTTCCAATTTTAGTATATGTACCGCCGAAGCGAGTACAATAAATTGTTAGTTAAATTCATTATATCAAAAAATCGTATTCCGGTGTTTTGATTAATTTTCTACCAAACCATTAAAATTAATTTTTTAAATAAAAACTAATTAATTTTTAATCACAGTTAATTTGGTTTATATTAAAATAAGTATGTTGTAATTAATATAACGACAATAATACATGTAGTTTGAATAAAAATATGAGTGTCCGGTTCTTTTGTCTTCGACTGTACTCGATGCGACCCGACGAAAATCTGGACAGTGGGGATCGCAGAGCGTCGGGTAGGTTAGCGTGGCATAGCATCGGGTAGATGTGCACGGGGGTAATGCAACCTTATGGAAAATCGGAGTCTGGATTTGCGTCGGGTAGTATCGGGTAGCGTCGCATGGCGTAGCATTGGGTAAGTGTGTTTCTGGCTTAAAGCACAAATATTTATCTAATGGCTAAGTGCAATGGCGAAAAACGACTGACAACAACCACGAGGGGTGGCTGCAACGGTTCATCGTAAAAGAACCGTTACAGCATAGACACAATAAAAATTAGTAAACAAAAACACACAAAAATAAACTGACATATATAAAAAGAAATAGACAAGTGAAAGAGGTATACAAATTAATTTAAAATATTAGTAATGCAAACTACCTTAAAGACAACAAACTCAATAGGAAAACGTCTGAGCCAAAACTTACAATTAGACAATAATAGCACAGGTATTCAATAACATGCAAATTTAGAGAAAAATACATCAGTCAAGAAGGAAAATAAAATTTCGATGTAAGCAAATAATTTTGGGGAGAAAAAGGTCAAACTGAGCGATTCACCTAACACAAAACCACCTCGAACCTTCAACAGAACAGACAGGCCTATAAATGTTCTATGAAGAACAAAAAGAATGAAGGAAACACGAAACAATATGGAAATATGAAAACTCATGAATACACAAAACTATATGCAATTTTTTTTTACTTCATTTATTTTTATCTAAAATTACTTAGTAGATGAAATTTATGTATGCACGAAGTGGATAGTTCTCAAGATTGCGTTAAATAAAGAAAGACGACGGCTTTTGTTAGGAAGTTCGTGAAGAACTGCAGCTTTTATCAAATCGTAGTAAATAGTACGTATATAAATTAAAAAGAAAAATAATCGAATATCACAAAACCTACTGAACCACACAAAATATAAAATGGACCTGACTAAACAAATAATTATGCACTGAAGATAATGAGACTCGTCTGATAGCACATAGACCAAAACAGCAAAGTTTTCAATCCAATATGATTGGAAATGACCAATCTATAATTATAATCGTTTGGGCCTTGTTTAACGGTAAGTAAATCATAGAGGTCCTCATAAAAATTGGCTAAAGACCTACCAACGACGCTATGACTCAAACTACAATAATATTTCCCTGGTCCCAGCATCGTTGTAAACTCGCAACAGTGCTAAACTAACATTCAAATTAATTAAAGGTAATTTAATAATTTAATGCCGTAGTTACCGTTAGTCGAATTAATGTACTCAACTAATGTCCTACCTGCAAATTTTGATTAACAACACTTTAGCGTACTACTCCGAATTTATCGCAGTAAGGCCTGTATTAAAAACAAACATATTCTAAGATAGATATTTTTCTAAGACCAAGTGGAACCAATGAACTTGATTGCAATTAACTTTTAATGCTTCCACTAAGCATGTCTCGAAAATCTTTTGTCGGTTTAGTTTTTCTGGCAAAACTTGGTTGAACTTTTTGGTAACAATACGAGATGGAAAGTACAAACTAAATTGAAAACTCATTACATGGTCCTCTCTCAGCCTTCTTGCGTCCCTTGATTTTTTTGCCGCTTGATTGTTCCTTTTTCTCCTTTCGTAGTATTTCTCATCCTTTTGTTCGACAGGGATTGGTTTCTTTTCACTCCTCGGCCTTCTCGGTGATCCGACCGTTCTCAGAGCTGTAAAAACAGACTGAAATTATTTAATGTTTATATTTGTTATACTTATTAATTATATTATAATTAATTGCAAGTGAAATGTAATGCTAAAAATTCGAATAATGTTCTCTCCCGCCCTTTCTNTCTCTCTCTCTCTCTCTCTCTCTCTCTCTCTCTCTCTCTCTGGTTTGGTTTAAAACAAAACAGGGTTTGGTTATGGAGTTTTAAAAAAATTTTATGACGACAAAAAATGGTTTTGTTATTGTCTCGATTCTATTAGAAAGCAGGAGATTATTCGACCTGGCAATAGACCGGAGATCGGATTGCAAAATTGGAGAACCCGGGAGAAACCCTGTTATCTGGCAACCCAACACTATCCGATAAATGGTTACAGTTTAACAGAGGGTATTTAAGAGTAGGTTTAACGTACTATTCATCGAACCTGCCAACAAAGGGCAATTATTAAAAACTCCCCGTGTGATACAACATCCGTCAATAGCTGCGCTTGTTACTGCCCCGGGTGAAAACAGAAAAGCACGTTGATTGCGCAATTTTATTGCTCGTGTATATAAAACTTTAGATCGATCAAAAAGAGAACTGAAATGAATTTAATAGTCATACAAACCAACGAGTTCTCGTGATCAACCCATGTTATGTATGTATAGTTCACGTTACTACGAAAAAATACTTTAGTGCTGAACGTAAAAATAAGCTATATCCAATTTTATCATTTGCCAAAAAACGAAAAGCGACCTCTAAAATATATCATCCACTCCAATCAATAATCATTATCGTATCCCTACACCCTTTGAACCACATGATTTTTCGGCCCTTCGATAATTTTTGTGTGGTGTTTAGTGACCGGTAGTTAATTCTTATTTGGAGATCGTGAGATGCGGTCTGGTGTGAAGTAGGTTTAGAAAACCATTTTCTTTATCGTGGCAATGTTTCGATTATTATTGATTTCATCTTCAGGGCCTGGGATTTATTTATAAACATGGTTTAAATTATACAAATACATGTAAGATGTGAAACTTGATTTATACAATGATAGAAATTTTAGGTTCAATCAATGTACACAGAAAACACACACTTTGAGTGAGTAGAAATACTTTGAATGAACCTAAAACTTCTATCATTGTATGCATTCATTTCTACATCTTACATGTATTTGTATAATTCATTCACGATCTCCAAATAACCTTTGCAAAGTCTTCATGCTTAAAGATCATAATCCTAAAAGACCTCTTCGCAAAATTTCTTTATCAGGCTCACGTTATCCCCTATACACTGCAAAAGTGCTTGTTCTTCGCCTACAAATCATCGTGGTAATCTTAAATATAATCCATCAAATACCAGTAGTGTTTCGGCGGTAACGCCCGCCATCATTCAGCAAAATCATCGCCACATCCGCCCAAACAGAATTACTGAGAGAATTCTACAATATATCCTATGTCTTAGATTTGATAAGGAACGAAGGTTAAGGAACCGAAACTCCCATTTTTCCACGCAGTAACTTTTCCTGTAGATTATCTTGCGTACATTATCCGATTCTATCCATCCGGAGCGTTGTAGACGTTATTTCTGTCTCCCTTGAGTTGAACGAGTGACAGGGCTTGGATCGAGTTTGGCACTCCGGCTTCCTGATCTTCCTTCTTCCTACACCCTTATCATTCGAAGCTACCTCACTGACCAGCACTTCCGAATCCTTGAAGGGTCGGCATCTGCCCCAAAACACCTAATCCTTGTTGGTGTTCTCTCGGCTGTATTTGGCCAATGACTGGCACCTACGATTGGTGAAGCAACGGGAATCTTTTAATCTTATTTTGTCTATTAATGCTGTATTATAATAAAAGTAAAGGGAAAAGTAATTTCCAGTCATACAGGAAAGCACAATGTCCTACTATCTGTTGGGTAGCACGAACGAGTAGTCTTTATTACTTTATAATAAATTTTTCATACCATAATCCATTAAAAAATCATGGGCTCTGACGAGATTCGAACCCAGAACCGCTGGCGTGTCAAATACGTGTCGGAGACCTAACCACTCCGCCTCTCTGAACTCCAACACTTGAATTTTTTTTATTGATATATTATAAATTTAACGGGAATTTACGACTAAAGCACAAATATTTATCTAATGGCTAAGAACAATGGCGAAAAAGGACTAACGACAACCACGAGGGGTGGCTGCAACGGTTCATCGTAAAAGAACTGTTACAGCGTAGACACAATAAAAACTAGTAAACAAAAACACACAAAAATAAACTGACATATATAAAAAGAGAATAAATAGACAAGTGAAAAAGGTATACAAATTAATTTAAAATATTAGTAATGCAAACTACATTAAAGACAACAAACTCAATAGGAAATCGTCTGAGCCAAAACTTACAATTAGACAATATAGCACAGGTATTCAACATGCAAATTTAGAGAAAAATACATCAGTCAAGAAGGAAAGAAGTAACTTTCCCTGTAGATTATCTTGCGTACATTATCCGATTCTATCCATCCGAAGCGTTGTAGATGTTATTACTGTCTCCCTTGAGTTGAACGAGTGTCAGGGCTTGGATCGAGTTTGGCATTCCGGCTTCCTGATCTTCCTTCTTCCTACACCCTTATCATTCGAAGCTACCTCACTGACGAGCACTTCCGAGTCCTTGAAGGGTCGGCATCTGCCCCAAAACACCTAATCATTGTTGGTGAATCTCTCGGCTGTATTTAGCGCCCACACTGTATCAGGTATACACAGCTGACCTCCCATCCAATCTTCAAACTCCTTTACAAACGATAGAGCGATCCTCTCTAATAATCCTGATTCAATTATTTCCACTCGAATCCTTCAGGAACACTGCACACTAAGAGAAGTGATGTGAAAAAGAAAAGAATAAAATTTTACCCAGAAAAACTCACTCCTATAACCATCACAATCCGCAAAATGTACCCTCCTCTATTCAATCAAATACTCATCTCATGTGCGGACAAGGTGCGTCATGTAGAACCGTGTCGTGGAATCCACGAGTTAAATAACAAATTATGAAACAGAGCTCTTTCACGACTTTTTGATAAACAATCTATCTTACCCCTCTAAAGCAAAAGGCTACTTTGTAACACCATTTTACATCCGATATGGACTGTAAGTGTGCGGTCTCCAATTGCATCAAAGAGCCCATTCCACAATCCTCAGAAAAATCCTAGATGCTCCTTTGTATGTGTTCCACGAAACTGCCATACAGACCTAAATATTCCTTCTGTTCAAGATATAATCCATTCGTGTTATGGCCAATTTTATACAAACACTCCACGCTGATTAAAGATACGTTGGTCGTTAGATCACCTTTCCAATATTAATGAAAATAACTTCATTAAGTACCTCAATTAAGTAAGGAACACCTAGGATAAATAGGAGTACTGCCAATGGGTAGTGACGTGCGATACCAATCGATATGTGTAAAATATCGAATATTTTCTTTCGATACCGAGTAATTTTGGTATCGAATATTGTCATTCGATACAAGTACTGTATCGAATATTTTTTGTAGTATCGGAAAATATAATTAAATCGATTTTTCGTCGAGTGTTCAAGTAATTTAGAATTGTTATTTACCGTTCGAAACGTACCTCCCATCAAACTGGGAATTGACTAGAGCGCCTACTAGCGGCATATGTGAACAAAGATAATCTAGATTTTTAATTCGTGGTTGGTAACTCTGCTGATAATTCTGGTAACTCATAATTCTTTCCCGCGTCGCATTTTCAATTTCAGTAATTTCTTATAAAATATTTTTGTCTTCAAGTCCATAAAATGTGTTCGCCTTCTTTCTCGGAGGTCGATACCTAATCATGTCTCCTCCCAAAAGTAAGGCATAAGGTTATTTTCCTAAGAAAACTGAATCGTTGACGTCTTGAGAACTCTGGTGAATACAGTGGGAATACGCCTTATCTTTTCAAGCATTTGAAAACCAAACACCCGTTGATCAATTTTCTCAAAACTCGATAACGATAAAATTGAAATATCGATTATGCTGAAATGTGTTGGCAGCTTTTCCTTGTTTTTCACCTACATACCAACTGTATGAAAAAATACTTAAAAATGAAAAAAAAACTACAATTTCTTGATTATTTTAACGCATGAGCGTATTTTAACCAAAGTCCACAATAGTAAGTTGATCATTCATGAATAAACGAAAACGTACTCAAATGAATAAGTACGGGTTAGTATCGAATGATTTCTGTCAATATTTGAGTAGTATCCAATATTTCTTTCGATACCAGTATCGAGTACTTGTATCGAATATTTACGGGTATGGCATGTCACTACCAATGGGTAGTTTCTACACCTTCATTTATTTATTTAATTTTTACGATGTTTGTTACTTTTTGCTCAATTGAAGTTAGTTATTATATAGTGTCAATAAAAAAATAGGCCATACTATTTTAACTAAGCATACTTGTTCTTTTACTACAGAATTTACGCAACTATTCTTCTATTTCATCCCAACATCTGACTTTACAACTCACCAAACCTATAACATTATATGAAGTTAAAAAAAATTAAAGCCTATCAAACACGCTGGGTTACCTCAGTTTTTAACAATTTATCTCCCTCTTGTCGTAGAGTTTTCTATATTTCGATTCTTAGGTTGCTTTACATTAGAAAATTCTATTAGCCGGATTTCGAGCCTTTTAGCTCATCATCAGGTTCAAGGACTNCAAATGATATAACTAAAATCCTATAAATATCTATATAGGATATTAGTTAATGGTACAAGCTAAAAATAGCTACGGTTTGGTTTATTATATTGTCATAATTCTCTCATTTTGTCTAAACAACTATTCGGCCATTAGGCTACTTTTCATTTTTGAATTTTAAAACGTTTCGGAAAATGCCCAGTCATTACCCATCTGGTTAAAAAAAGCTCAGTAACTTTTATATCATTAATGTCTCAGGGCACAAGTTATAATGATGATGTTTCTCTATCGTGGAGAATCGCATAAATGGGCTTCATCAAATGTTTAATGTCTCAGGATCCACGAACGATTCAAGTTTATGAAACTATCACGGAATTACTTCTTGGAGTGTCATTACAAATAATTGCCCCTTTTTTCGCTAATATTCCGTTTCCGAAGGTGTTGTGATATTATATCCTTATTCAAGTTGTAGACATATTGATCATTTAATTGCTTTTGTAATTAAAACAACCCCCATGCTTGGTGGGACGAGCCCGGTGTTTCTAACCGTCTGCTATTTCCCGAATTTTTCTTAATAAAAGTTTTTTTCGGCGGGTTTTTTTCGTTTATTGTTATTACATCGAACAATTTGATTACCTGACTTGATGTCCGTTTGAGGTAATGATAAAATTGGGGGTGATGTGTAAGGGTAGGGCGGCGGAGGCAAAAACAGAGGAGTTGATACCAAAGGGTTCACCAAGCCATCTCTTCCAACTTCCTGTGATACTTGAACTTCACTATCTGAAAACAAACAAAATTTATTCTATTTAAAAAAGTAATATAATTATAAAACGTTTATTTAAAAGAAATATGTAATGAGTAACTTAATAAACATTTTCAGAATTAGAAGTATCGACCACTTTTTCACTTACGAACACAGGATCAAAGTATAATTTTAAAGAAAAAAAAATTAGTTGCTAGTGCCAAGCTTTCGACCTATTTGAAGGCCATCATCAGAGCAAAACAACATTAAATATGCCTACAAGTTGACATATTTGTTTTTACAGGCGATCTCAAATTTCCTTGAAAACTGACTCAGTCCCAACGATGTGACAGTCGGTCTTCAATGAAATTTGACATGGCCTTGAAAACTGACTCAGTCCCAACGACGTGACAGTCGGTCTTCAATGAAATTTGACATGGCCTTGAAGACTGAATCAGTCCCGACATCGTGACAGTCTGTCTTTAAGGAAATTTGAGATGGCCTTGAAGACTGAATCAGTCCCAACATCGTGACAGTCGGTCTTCAAGAAAATTTGTGATCGCCTTGAAGACTGAATCAGTCCCGAAATCGTGACAGTCTGTCTTTAAGGAAATTTGAGATGGCCTTGAAGACTGAATCAGTCCCAACATCGTGACAGTCGGTCTTCAAGGAAATTTGAGATCGCCTTGAAGACTGAATCAGTCCCAAAATCGTGACAGTCGGTCTTCAAGAAAATTTGTGATCGCCTTGAAGACTGAATCAGTCCCAACATCGTGACAGTCGGTCTTCAAGAAAATTTGTGATCGCCTGTAAAAACTTAAATATGTCGATCTGTAGACAAATTTAAGGTTGTTTTGCTCTGATGGTGACCTTAAAATAGGTCGAAAGCTTTTTATTTTTCAAGACCATACCTTCATTCAGTGATCGTTAATGGTTCATATGACGTCTACTGTTGCGAACACTCGTTAAGAAAATGGTAAAAACCTACTCAACTTAAACTGCCCTGGATTAATAGAAAATGCACAGCGGGCTTGGTATTGCTAATATCAGCAATCCAATGTGATATTCATTATGCATATTTGGTATTTATGATAATTTTGTTTTAATTCTACTGTATTTTATAATAATTTTCATATTTTTCGTAATAATAAATTCGCCGGTATCGGGTCTCTCTTTGGCATGGCGGACTTGACTATGGAATAAAAAATTCATAATAATAAAAATTAGTTCAAAAATGAATTTATAACGGTAGAGACATTGACGTGATCGGTTTTATTTCGTAGATCGTTTTATTTTTTTTAATTACGTGTAAAAACTTCAAATAATTAGAAAAACAAAGTTTTTAAGAGTTAAACTAACAACTTTAAGTTTTATGTTATTATAAGTGAGAAAAATAAATATTAAAAAAAATTAATTAACAAATAGAAAATAGAATGACGGTCAGTTTGAGGGAAAATAAATATTGACGTAAAATTTTATATTTGGTATGTTTTGAGTGCGGCCGGTGTATTTGATATTCATAATAATAAAAAAAGCTAGTTCACAAACGAAATAATTATAACAGTGACATTAACATGATTGGTTCAATAAGGTTGATAGTTTCATATTGTTGGATTCTGTTTAAATGTAAATAAAGGACAAACTTTTAAGGGTCAAATTATCACTAACAACGTGGGACCACAGATTTTTAATGAAACTTTGGTAGTAATAGGTCGAAAAATAAAATATTTTTAGAGTTTTTGACCGTATTGACATAGTTGTTTTTTTTTTAATTTAGTTGTCTGCCTTTGTTGTGTACGTACTTCAAAGTTATTCATATATCACTCGGTTCGTTCATTTAAGTAACATAAGAAAATAATATGGAAAATCGAACTACGTGTATTAATAAAAAGTTCCACACCCAAACGACACTTCAAACTTCCAGTAAAGTAAGCCAAAACTATTTTTGTTTATATGAATTTATATGAAATACCCATTTTTATGACAACCAAAAAAATATAAATTTTTAGATTGTTTAAGTGGAGAACATCAATCGTTTTCTCCGATGGTTCCACTTAAATATCATATCTCTTCTTAATTTTATCCAAAGTCAACCTTATGTAATCAATGTTTAGGTTTTATGTTATTATAAGTGAGAATATAAAGTTTAAAAAAAATTAATTAAAAAATAGAAGGTAGAATGTTAAATTTGGGAGGATAAATATTGACATAAAATTTTGTATTTAGGATCTTTTGGAGTGCGGACGGTGTATTTGACACGCATAATAATAAAATCACCTAGTTCACAAACGAACTAATTATGACAAAGACATTAATGTGATTGACTCGATTAGGTTGATTGTTTCATATTGTTGGATTATTTTTAAAAGTAAATAAAGGACAAACTTTTAACGGTAAAAATATCACTAACGAGAACGTTTTTAGTGTCAGTAATTTATAATTTTTTTAAAATGTTTTTCTGCCTTTGCTGTGTTTGTCTTTCTACCGATTTGTAAATAGGATAACAAAATAATAAGGAAGATCGTACTAAATGAGATTGGATGAATAAAACGTTAGAAAGATCAAACGACTCACAGTACAGTAAGAAAAAAACTTTTTTGATAAGAAACCACAAATAAGATTCGCTTGAAGCACCCTTTAAAATCCTAAATTAGGAATTTTTATAACAAAAAAACTGGACATTTTTGGGTTGGATCAGGCGTGGGCATCTTTTTTTTCTCCTATGTCAGGTGTCCCATTTAACAATTCATAATTTCTCTGGATTTTATCCCAATTCAACTTTATTACAAGAGTTGAAAAGCTCTCTCTCTCTCTCTCTCTCTCTCTCTCTCTCTCTCCTCTCTTCTCATTTCAGAATATGTCATTATGAGTGAGAAAATGAAGGATGAAATCAACAAAAAATACTCAAACGTACTATTCATATCCCCCATTTTCATTTATTTACCGAAACCAAGTTTATACCATGAAAAATATGAAATTCTAAACTGTTATAGGTTAAATGTTAAAGTTATAAAGTTATTACTATTTCTATGTGATTTTCGAATAACAAAAAACGAAGACACATGGAAGGCTAAAATTTTGAAAGAAAAAATTTATTTTCCAAAACATTTGTGTATTTTTCAACGAAAAACTAATATTGATTATTTAATTCTTGATAAAATAAATTGTTTACGCTAAGTCACTACGCCAAAACAGTATTCGACTCCATAATATGGGTATCATAGATCTTGCCTTAATAGTACTTAATTTGTGACCGAGCACGTAGCAAAAAAAGTCCATAGTCCAATGAAAATTAAAGTTAACCTAGTACGTACTTGATAACCAGTACCATTATTTAAGTTCAGGCAGACTCATATTTGTTCTAAGAACCAACTTGTAATCTTTGAGTTCAAAATGTTCCCATTGTGGGGTATTAATTTTGCCAACTGTATTTTGTCAAATAATTTAAATTATATTTAAATAATAGAATAATTGATAAGTTGTATAATTATGGTCGAAAACATGGTCTACATAGGCAAGTCTTTTATTCCCGACGATTGTTTATTATATCATAACTATCGGATTATACAAAAGTTTAAATATTATTTAGTACCAATTAAAAATAATTGTGAAATCGTCTCTTTATGTCTGTAGGGTGATGAACCAGTAAATATGTCGTTTCCCGTTTTCGACAGACCAAAGCAGCGAACCAAAAATGATCGTAAATGAGCAAACTAAAAAAGTCTTTATTTGAAGAGACTCTTTTCCAAAACAAAGTTAAACTGGTTAAGCCCATTATTTCCAAAAACTCAACAATAAGACGATTTTCTTGTTAGAACAACCTTTCTTTTACCCAATTGTTTTTACCTACGTAAAATGTACATAACCTATATAAGTCTGATTTATTTTTTCTTCATTTCTTTATTAAACAAAAATGGGTGTAAATGGAAAACAATTTTACGAATTACAATTAATTAAGGTTTTTAGTTGAGATAAAAAATCGGATTGGATTCTCGACGACAAATGAAATGGCCACGGAGAGCTTTAGTGAAATATAATTCATACTCACTTGTCGTGTAATNGTCTTGCATCTGCATTTGTTTTATTATTATGTGTGGTGATTAGTGCACTCTCGACACGACACGCAAGAATAGCACAATTACACATAAGACAAACACTTTGGGCCCTGAAGATGATCTCAATAAAGATCGAAACGTTGGCACGATAAAGAAAATGTTTTTCTGAAACCTACACCACACCAGACCGCATCTCACGATTTCTAAATAAATTTTATTATTATGTTGTTTTATTTCACAATTGGACAATCTAGTTGACCGTCATACTAATGTGCGAAAAAATATAGTGGTTAGCATTTGATGAAATTAAAACCTTGCAAATACGACCCGAACTAATCCCATACACAGATAGTCAGCCATTTAAATTGATAAAACGAGGTGCGGGATCATCATCAAGATCACTTTACCGTGATGCACAGTTTTTGTTGTAGTGCAAGCAGTTCGGGAGACAAGAGACGCCTACAAATTTTTACAAAACGACGGATAGGTGAAGTCAAAGCGAGGGTACTTAATATTCAAAAAATTATGACGTTTTTGTCTACCTTTTACGAAATTCAGATAATATTTATACAAAAATTTTGCAGTATTAAAATTATTCATTAGGTACTTGGTGAAAAATTTACAAATTAAAGAGCGAATATCACTTTTCAAAAAGACCGGTTTTTAAAGTTAAAAACAAAAAGTCGTTCATGGATGCGGTGAATTTCCACCACGCCTCCCAGTGGTTTGGCCTTGGAATAGAATAGTGGTTACGAAATCAAATGAAAATATAACAGCAGATAATGTTTTATTATACTATTATAAATAGCATTATGAAAATTCTGATTGATATACAGCGATATGAGTATAAAGGATGTCGGATCAAGATGCCTAGGAAAAGACTAGGTTCTTTGAGCATCGAGTTTCTAGATCGGGTAAATTGCCGGAAAATTGGCCTTTTTCGTGCAATTTACAAGAGTCAGCCGGTGCAGAACGATACCTGACACCGGTCCAATGTACTGGTTATAACTCCTGAGAAGATGAAGGGCCGAGAACATGCTCTCGTTCAAAGAGAACATGCCATCAAAAGTGCACAATCGCTGCAGCCAGACGCCTCATTCCATAACCAATTTCCGACTAGAAAGGGAACCGTTATCGCTGACTGGAAAACGACGATAATAGACGTCTCAGCCAATAAAACTCGACGGCACGGGAGCGACCACGCCTTCCGGCGCAGAGCGTGATCCCCTGTGCTATTCCTTGCGGTCGACGACATAGTAACCATCGCAATACCGTTTCTATTATTTTATACCATATTAAAAGAAAATAAATTATTTTTAAACCTGTGAAAATTATATTCTAACTAATTATGTTCTTCGATAACTTAGGGTTACAGTGAAAACCCCAATAAAAAGGATGTTCAATGTTCTTTCTGATGATGTAACCAAATTTAGAGTAGGTTTATTATTTTACGAGATACTTTTTCGGCTCGATGAGAAAAAGATGTGAAAGGTTGAAATAGCACGAAAAGTCAAATATCTCGAATACAATTGAAAATCAGACTATTGACGTAGGAACTTTTTTGCCCCACTTAACATAGAAAAACTAGAAAATGGAATAACCGCCTGAAGTTTCCAAAGTTATTGCCTAAAAAATTAAATAAAGATTTTCTTAGTTCTGACAGCCGCTTACAGAAAAGTTGCTCGTGCTACTGAATTATTGAAATACTAAAAAAATTGTTTTTCAGTAACAAAAGTTCAAAAAAAATTGTTTATTAAGACCTTAATGTATAAAGGATCAGGGTAATAGAGCAAGAATAACACGTTTTTAAGCCAACGCCTTTATTAGGTCTTCCTCAGGGCAAACTCGGTGGTCAATTTTTAAACAAATATAAAAACAAATTATTGTAGCAGAGGTCTCTCTACAATATATATAAGAATACAACCCTGACAAATTTGTGAGCACTCAAGAGTTTTTTCTGCTTCTCTTCTCTTTTAAGAGCACAAGATATCTGAATCCTTTTTATGAAGGTCGTCCTTAGTTGTAACAGGAACTAGAATTAATTTTTAAGAGTTACCTATGTTGAAACATGGGCGTCTGTTCACGGGACTTCCTGCATATCAGTCGATTAGTTTTTGCACGTTAAACCAATTCCGTTATCATTATGAATTGTATAAAATAAATAATAATATATATTCATGGTTTTCAAATTATTCTATTTATTAAATTTTAAAGTAGCAAATTTGTAGCACAGCTGGATTGATTCTGCAAAAGAAAGAAATCTACCTCTCACTTCTTACTGTCGAGAGGTTTTTTTTTTTGTTCGTTTATGTTATGTGCTAAAAAATTACATTGCAGACCATGATTTTTTCGTTATTAGACATGTCCTTCTGTTGCTTTTCTGATTTCTGTCTCTAATCTTCTTATTCGATCTCTTGATGACTTTTTTAAAAAAATTTTATATTCGTTAATGTTGGTGACGAAAAACTTTGACGGAAAATGTCATATGTTACTTTTTGAAAATAAATTATTGAAACTTTTAAACCAAGTTATTTCTTTCAGTTTTTCCCTTTGAAGAATAAAGTTTTGCGTTGGGCCGAAAAACGATGAATAGAGTTTTCACTCGATTGGCACGTTTTTAACTCCCCTGTGCCTTAAAAAATCGAAATTCGGCCCAGGCTCGATTAAGGGGTGCCTCCCCGGAATCTTAGCTAAAAAGTATCTGCAGTGAGCTTGGAAGAGGTGTCGATGGAGGCAACCGATCACTCGTCGGTAAAAGTCCAGCGCGCATTGTAATGCAAAAAAGGAAGTTCGTCCGTACTTTCCCTGCCTGGGTCCTCCTCAGTAGCAAGGTCGACTTGACTGTGACGCTGGAAAAACCTTAGGGAAAAAGGACCTTATGGTTACCTAGGTATCACTGTACAATATTATGTTTTATAAATGTTAAAAAATTGATCTCTTTTTAAAAATGAAATTACGAACTTTAATAATTGAGTCGATGGGAAAAAAATTGATATTTATTTCGAGCTCATTTGTTTCTAAATCTGTATAGATTACCACACCCAGATGTTTAAGATCGTTTGACGAAAACTGGACAGATTACCGTTAAAGGCGAGTTTACAAGATTCACCTTAAAACCGACATGAATCGGTTTTTGTTCACACGTTTCAACAAAAACTTAATCAACTTTTGATTTGCAAACCATTGTATTTCTGTGTTTTTTCTTGTTCTCCCTTATAAATTGATCATCGCGTACTTTACGATAAAACTCAACGCATTTTCTCTCGAAAATTTCTTCAACTCGCGTCAACATTAGGCTGCAGGATTCATAAATTATAAACGTCGGCAACATTTGCGCCGAAGTATAGCGATCTGGTAATTTCCATTTCTTTGACAATAAAACTAAAGCATTTTCTCTCCAATCTGTAATTTTTATTATATATATTATTAAAATGATTTACCCATGTAATTTTTATTATACGGGGTATCCCAGTTCCTTCTGACGAAACTCAGGGAATCGATTCTACTCTTCGTTTGGAGCAAAAAATGCTCAGGAGAAAATATTCGGAAAGTTCTCTATTTTGAAGATATTCGTCAATTTAGGTTTTTTTTTCAACTTTTCACTACCTTACCACATAAAAACGCTTACAACTTCCAAAATGTTGAGACTACAACAAATCCAATTACACCATTTGAAAGAACGCTAAATTTGCTGTAAGATACTTCTTTGCAATAATCTGAATGACATAAAATGTTAGCCAATATCAGTTGGAAAATGTCAAAATTACAAAATTTAAAATTTTGGTCATGATTGCACGTTCTAATGAGGTTACAAAACAATACCTACAACTTGTCAAATTTTACAAAAACTTGTTCAACTAATATGCTTTAAGTTGATATATCCAGGTTTTTAAATAACATTCTAGTAGAGTTGAAAAATAACAATTGATTAAATGATGTTTGTAGATCGACCTGCAGATAATCAATGTAGAGATCAAATCTTCTTTAAGGTCTTTACTAGGTGAAAGAAAGACAAAAGTGTTGGGATCACCAAGCTTTCGGCAACATTTTGTTGCCATCATCAGGGCCTATTTATTAAGAAAAAATATACATAATTAATATAAATTTAACAATCAGCAATTAAAACAATAATGCATACTTTCCCAAGAGAGAAGAGAAAAAACTTCTCATCGGAAAAAACTGTAAAAGTGCTTTGGTTTAGGTTATGAAGCACATGGCCAGCATTCAGTTATACATGGTGAACAAGACATCTATGTAAAATAATGAATAATTATTCGCATATAACATTAATGATTAGTGACCGTTAATCGATATTTAAATTACCTCACTAATGAATTCATATAATTACAAGTCCAACTGTTTTTGTTCTTACTAGCTATTTTTGACATTAAAAAACATATGTTATCACAGAGTATTACATTAATGACTAGAATTACAGCTTGTTAAAATGATATGTACAAAGGATTACAATTAAGATGAGAACACGACACGCCGTCGCCTCACCTAAGGTTGGACTGTTACAGTTAGTGAAGACTACCAGGCTCTACGCACTCTCCATTATGCGCCCTCTAACGGTCGCCACCTTTTTTTCGTTTTTTATAAATTTCCAATAACCCCGCAACATAATGTTGCCGGTAAGCTTGGTGATCCCAACACTTATGTCTTTCTTTCACCTAGTAAAGACCTCAAAGAAGATTTGAACTCTACATCAACAATTGATTGTTCGAAAACGTGAGCTAAGGTAAATTTGAAGAGGGGGGTAGAAATAAATCAATTAGAATTCGCTTTGTAAAATGAAAATGACACATCTGTAATCTCACAAAAACCATACCAGAAAAAATCATAAAATAAAATGCAATGGTTCTTCTTGTAGCAAGCACCTAAAACAACAAAGGAGGAACTTTTCAGAGGAAATGCTCAAAGTGTTTTCCCTCTTCTCGAATGCATAACTGACTTTCAGAATTTCTCCCCCCCCTTCAAATTTACCTTACCTCACGTTTTTGAACATTCAATTGTTATTTTTCAGCTCTACTAGAACGTTATTTAAAAACCTGGATATATCAATGTAAAGCATATTAGTTGAAGAAGTTTTTGTAAAATTTGACAAGTTGTAGGTATTTTTTGTAACCTCATTAGAACGTGCAATCATGACAAAATTTTAAATTTTGTAATTTTGACATGTTCCAACTGATATTGGCTAACATTTTATGTCATTCAGATTATTGCAAAGAAGTATCTTACAGCAAATTTAGCGTTCTTTCAAATGGTGTAGTTGGATTTGTTGCAGTCTCAACATTTTGGAAGTTGTAAGCGTTTTTATGTGGTAAAGTAGTGAAAAGTTGAAAAAAACCTAAATTAACGAATATCTTCAAAATAGAGCACTTTCCGAAAATTTTCTCCTGAGCATTTTTTGCTCCAAACGAAGAGTAGAATCGATTCCCTGAGTTTCGTCAGAAGGAACTGGGACACCCTGTATATATATATTATTAAAATGATTTATCCAAATGAAAGATTTTTGTTACAGACGTGTTTCGAACCCACTCTCTGTATTTTTTATAAACAAACCGGTGATTTCAAAGGCCACAATGTCTATCATAAAACGCACAAAATTATTAACGGATTAATTACTGTTATCATAAATGTCGACAACTTTTGTGCCAAAGACGCTACGTTTGTAATAATAAATCCGGCATTTCGATAGGAATTAGTGCTTAAATTGAAATTCTAATAATTATAGCATCACACTTCAGGATCACTTGAGTTTCATTATTTTTTCATAAATAACAAACAAAACCACAGACGCGGAGTAAAAGTTGAACAGAAAACGGTCAACTGAGGCGTAAACATGTTTCAAGTAACGTTTCAACTTGAACGGTCATTCTAGAACGGAGACTTGAACTGTAAAATTGACTGGTTAAAACTTTAGTGTATCATCAAAAAACTCATTCAACTGGGTTGAATTGCGGTTTTCACGGCAGATTTCAATCAACTTGAGTTGATCAAAACCAAAGCCTAAACTGAACCTTACATATTCTATCTGAAAGCCAAGACCAAAAATATTATATATTCTTTTAGAATCACTTGTAATATTGAAC